CACACACACACACACACACACACACACACACACACACACACACACAAAAGAAATCCAAGTCCGAGCTTAATCTTTACCTTAGCACCGTTTTTCAGAAGAATCTCCGTTATCGCTTTCCCTATTCCCATCGCCGCTCCTGTCACTATCGCAGTTTTACCGTCCAGAGCCATTTCAGCTGTTTATTAAGAAGAGCCAGGAGGTGGTCAGCTTCCTTACACACGCAAAGAACTGGGAGAATGTTAAATAGAGAGAAATTGGTCGCTATTTAAACTGCCCATCTGTCGCCGCCCACCAGGAAGACGCGCGGGGCTTCAAACGTGTGGCAACCGTGCGGAGGTTGAGTGAGAGACTGGAGGCGGTCAGAGTGAGTAACTGGTAACTGCACAGTTAACGACCAGCCTATTCATCCCAACTGTGCAAAAACTCTTCTCGCGGTCATTTTTCGATGGTGCGTGCAGCAGGGGCGTAACGAGAGGGGGGTCGGGGTTTTACTGGAGAGTACAGTTATTTTACAACCCCCAATGCCACTGGATAAAACCAGTGATTAGTCATGTTACCAGACCACTGTGCGTGGTGTCATTACACTCTCAGGAGACAATTTAATGGAAGTATATTTTAAGTACTGTATGCCTTCATATTGCTTGAAGGGGTATTAGGGCCACATTAAGAAAAACAAATATTACTGACCATTTTGAGACCAATGTTGGTCAAGTTACTTGAAGGTAATCAGTAACTAATTACTTTCAAAAATAAGTAATCAGTAAACAGGATTACTTTTTTCAGGAAGTAATCAGTAATTGGCTATTGATTACCTCCTGAAAAAAGTAATCCTGTTACTTTACTTATTTGAAATAATTAGTTACTGATTACCTTTTAAAACATAAATTACACCCTAAATAGGTAATAAAGCAATAGAACTTTCAACCCAATTCGACTTTTTCTGCATAATCCATCATATAAAATGTAATCAAATGAAAAAGTCTCTTTTTAAAACTTGTTTTATTAGTTTTAATCTTTTAACTTTATGCATCAAGCAAAGATGAAATTATATGCAACATTCTCTGACTGGAAGAAATTTGTTTAACATTTAAACCTATTTTCTGCACATTCCAGCATATAAAATAAAATATTTTTTTGTGTTTACACTCACTCTTTCAAATAGATGCACGTAAAACACAGCAGAAGATAAATAAAATCAAAGCGGTCCTGTTGCTCTATTTTCACCTGTATAGCAGGAGTGGGGCAGGCGGCGGTTTGCCCTGGTGCAGGTATGTCGCAGCGGTCAGTGTAAGGATATGGCAGTTTCACTGTGAATTTCACATTCCAGTGGCAGCATATTTTGTGCTTGCTCGGAAGTTTAGGGGGGTTTTTGCTGTAAAAAGACGTTTTCTTCCCTCGCAGTGAGCAGCAGACGCTAATGTTTTTGTCACTTTTTATGGAATCAAACTCAAAGTAAGGTCAGTACTTCCACGCTTTAAACGCTACATGCTCATACTCTCTCTCGTACTCGTTATAGTATCCATTGTTGATCTGCACACAGCTGTTGCCAGGAAAGTCCTACTCGTTTATGTCATTGTTATGAGACTCTCTGGCCAAAAAAAAAAAATCACTGTTTTAGTAACGTAGTAACGCAGCGTGCTTATGGGAAAGCAACAGTAATCTAATTACCTTTTGCAATAGTAATCCCTTACTTTACTCGTTACTTGATAAAGTAATCGGATTACAAGTAACGCATTACTGCCCATCTCTGTTTGAGACTAAAGTCAAAATTTCAAGAATAAAGTCGTAAATCTAAGCGGCTGTATCCTCTACAAAACGCCTCGTATAGATGACTGAATTAAACAAACTGATCAGCTGTCCTGTGATACAACATACATCCCCGATAACCTCGGCTCTGTTCACTACGCGCCATTTCATTTTGTACAAATCCACGCTTTGGAGTTTGTGTTTTTTTCCGTTTGACCAGATGCAGCTTTCCGCACCATCTTTTCAATGTCCTTATACGGCTCACCACACTGTGTTAATGTGCTAAAAGAGAGAGAAAAAAAAGGTGCTAAGAGAGAAACCATTTACTTCCTTGTTACTAAAACCGATTCTGAAGTACAAGTTCACTAAGTCGGAGGATATACCTACCATAGCAGTTTGTCTTGAAACAAAAAACTGATCAGTCGATTTTCTCAAAATAGATTTTCAACTTTATTCTCAAAATGATTAATAATGTATTTTTTTTTAAATTAATTAATGTATTTATTTTAATGTAGGCCTAAAACTCCATCATAGGGGTGTGCTCAGAGGGGGGTCATGGGTGACACCAATTTCCCTGAAATGACTGCTCCAGCATCACAGTCCCTGGAGAGGAGTACTGTTAATTTTACCACCCCCAATATAATACACATGGATAGGGCCAGTGATTAGTCATGTTACCAGAATACTGTGCCTTGTGTCATTGCACTCTCAGGAGACAATTAAATGCAAGTATATTTTGAGTGTTGCACATCCACCCACTGCAGTAACCCCTTACAAACAAGGAGTAAACATGAGCAGATTGATCCAAATATCAATAGTATCGATGCCAACGCTGGTGTCTGATTGGTACCAACCTGATAGGATCGATACTTTTTTTAAAATATATATATATCCTTTAAGTTAATATGTAGCCCATATAATTGTGTTAAATAAACTTTTTGGAATAAAAAAATATATATACCTCAAACATGCATTGTGATAAATGTTTTCTGGTAAGTGCCACATCTGTTTGATTTTAAGCCTGTAACGCATTTAAACAAAAGAAAGTTGATTCCGAGACGGGCACATTTACAAAAAAACTGCAGTTTCAAAGTACATGAAACCTGTTTTGTTGCATTAACTAGAAAATAAAAATATGCGTTCTGAATTTCTAAATTAATAATTTTTCTCATAAATCGTGACACACCATTTAAAAAAAAAAAAAAAAATCAGCGCTATACTAAGTAATTAAAGCATTAGTGGTACAGAGTACTTCTTAAGCAGACCCCTTAAGGAAGTAGCTGAAAGACAAAGTTCTCAATACCATCAAAAAGCTTTAATTACTTAGTAACTCACTGATTTTTAAACATAAATCTAAAAATATGATGAAGTGTTCTTATGGATAAATCTGCCCAGCAACAATGTGACATGAATGATTAATGTATACTCTTCCTTTGAAACTTTTGTACCATTAGTAATAGCAAGTGTTTAAGTACATCTTTGCACATTTAATACCAATTGTATGAAGGCTCGGATTTTGTGACTGCTTCTTTCAGTCCTTTCTCATTTCAGTCGTAGCCTTTAATCACATTAGTCCACCTTGCCGTGTAACCTTTTAGATAAAACCATTGTCTAGACATACTTCTTGTGAGTGCAGACTAGCTTCCCCTTTTTTTAAAAACACATCTTTGTTTTGGTGACTTCCCTTTCACAGCTGACTGTGGGTGATAACTAATTCTTAATACAGAGACCCATGTGTATCTATGTGAGATCTGACTGCAGTGCCTTCAAACATATGGTGTGATATTTTGCAGTGACAACGCATTTTCCCTTGTGGTTTGTCATTTCGGGTACTTGCAGAGGAAGTTGATTTCTGTTCAGATATATTAGTTTATTCTACGCCGGTACGGTTACTGACTACATCCCTGTCAGGCGTGCGTTTGTTTAAATAAGGGGAAGAAAAAAGTTACACTAGGGGGAGCTAGATCCAGGTGACACTACATCTTTGCGGTGTGTTGTGACACAAGTTCAGCAGCTCCTACAGTCAAATGGTTTAAGTGTCAGTGTTGTGCAATAACAAGACTGAAATTTGCCAGTGGCAGGATGTTGCAGATCAAACACCCACACAGATTTTATATTTTAATCTGTTATTGCAGTACATTTCATACATTGTACAGAAGTTGAAACTCTTGCCTGAAAGACTTGAAATATTGTCATAGTTAATCAGTGGGTGATGCTGAAAAAGTTGCATATTTCTTCTCTTTTGGGAGAACTAGAAGAGCTTCTCCATTTTTGGTCTCATCTGTCACGAGCTCAAGGAAGCCCTCGACTACTTCTGCAAGCCTGCATCAAGAGATGCAGTGGAAATGAATATTCATTTCCACTGCAAAATACTTTTGAAAAAAAGAAAAAAGAAAAAAAAAAGAAGGCTTTGTACAATTTTAGACTCACGTTAACACACCAAGTTTTTCTATCAGTTCCTGGTTAGCACCTGCCAAGTTGGAGAATTGTCCCAGTTTGGACTTGATAGAGGAGAAGAGGTCCGTTTGAACGAATCCTGGGCAGAGGGCATTCATCCGTATACCATAGCCTGATGCAACTGAGGCAGCCTAGTAAGAAAGTTTCTTTACATTTTGTGCAGCTCTCGATTCAATAAGGGGCTGAAAATGGTCACAGGAGAAAGATGGTGATCGAGTCCACTCGAACACCGAAGAGAAACTGAGCTTTGTGACCTGCATGTTCTCCTGCTAGCAGCAAACATCAGATGATTGCCACACTGGTCAGAGGCATGACATGAATAGCAACAGTAATCATGTGTGTCAGGATATCCTCCACCCTGTTATTCCACCAGCAGGATGAACTGACGTTACAAAGCAGGATGATCCATGCAATTTCTAGTTTCAGTTCTTCAATACCATGCGCTTCAGTGTATGGTGCAGTCCATTCCCTTGTTGCAACAAGGGCTTGGTGGAATTACTGTTGCCATCATGTTAGTCTGGTCATTCTGACCTAGCATTACGCTCACAACTGATGCTTGCTGATTTCTTTCCAAACCATTTTATGTAAACCCTAAAGTGTGCTGGAAAAATCCTAGTAGATCAGTTTCTGAAGTACTCAGACCCACCATGCCTTGTTTAAAATCACTTCAATCATATTTCTTTTGATGTCTCTTTGAGCCTCAAGTCATGTTGACCCAATCGACTTTTACTGGCTGATTAGACAATGTGTTAATGAGCAGTTGAACATGCAAGTTATAGCAGTAGCACAGTTGCCCTAGTAGCCACTAAGCCCAACATGCAGCTTACATTGACTCTCCAGACAGTACAAACAAATTGAAACTGATTTTTCCTGAAATTGTGTCAGTTTCCTTACCGCAAATGCTCGAGTAAACCCAACCACTGCATGCTTGGTGGCTGTATACACAGGGCAGCAAGACAGAAGGCCAATACCTGTTGGATGGGTTGCAGTTCAAGTTCAACTCAAGTTTTCCTTTAGCAGTTAAAGTAGTCCTGATAGTTCAGGGTGTTCATGATTTCAAATGAAGTGACTACCATGCATGAAATGGTCTGTTTAGATGCAAATACATAAGTTTACCTGCCATGGATGCCACATTGATGATGACCCCTCCACGACCCCCAGTCAGCTTGTTCATGTGCTCGATAACCAGGTAAGACCCCCTAATACAGCCACCCTACGACAAAAGGCATCCATGACATTTGCAATCTCTTGCATATCTGATGTTGAGTAGCTCAATGTGAGTGTTTCTTACAAGGTTGATGCCAATAGTCTTCTCCCACGTTATCTCATTGAAGATGCCAGCATTGTTGACCAGGATGTCAATTCCACCAAAGGTTTCTACAGTTTTCTGAAAGGCAGCTTGAGACACCACAGGAATAACAGTCCTTTCAAAACCAAGTGACAAAATTCAAGCTAACAATAAAAAGACAAATTCATCTCTAGCTGTTTATTGGGAACTACAAAAACTGTTGCAGCATTCCCAGTTCATGAAGCAACTTTAAGCTGACTACAGAAGCATGCCAACTACAACTACCTCCGGAATCTGATCAGCTTTATTAGCAGCATCTACATTAGCAAAACCCCTGTGCTCTGGTAAAGTTCTGATGGCTCATTGACTCCCACATGAAGAGCAAGTAATTTCTCATGGTCTGGAGCTCCAGCTGCTGATAACTGCTCATACTGTGACTCAAGCTGGTGAGCTTGAGAAAAATTCACTGACTGGAACAAACTAAATCTACAAGTATTTGAAGGAAAGCAGAACACACACACGCCTTTGCCGCCACCATTTACATTTTGTTGTGTATGCATGTTACCTTTGATCTCCTCTTCTGACTCTACGTTGCACAGCAGGAACAGGGCTCTGTCTGGTCCGTGCTCTTTGTTCAGGGTTTCAACTAAACTCTGTCCTGCAGTTTCATTCATGTCCAGGATGGCCACCTATATGTGCAGGACAACACATTAAGCATTTTGTTTTTGGTCACATCCTGCAGTGAAATGTTATGATTTACCCCCATGAAGGGTTTTAGCCACAGACACTAAAAGAGGTCAGGAACCTGTTCCTTTTCCATCCCTCCTCAGTGAGGATGAAAATTTCATCAGATAGAGTCTTCCTTGGTCCATTCTTGCAAATACAACCCAAAAAATAAGTTAAATTTAATTGCTTAGAGTTTAAAAAGCATAAGTGTTACCATTTTTAGTGAAAGAGCTATAATATATGCTATTAAATGGATAGCAAGTTTCCCCTCCAACATCCACCTTCCAACACTACAAATACAGTAATTTGGTGGGCAACCAACTTCAGACCAGGGGGACAAACTGAAGACAGCTTAATAAAAGGATGCAGTTCAAATCAAACTTATTCATGCCGACTTAACCTGTATCCGCTTTCTAACTCCAAATAGGCCATGCAGTAGTCTACTTAGAGTATTTGATTTTACTCACCTATGACAAGTAAAACTAACAAACTTATCTACTCTCGCAGTTACATGCTCATATTCATCACCACAAATTTACTCATTTATTGCAGGAAAAAAAAAAGTATTCAACCTCAGCACTTCAAAATGTGAAGCACAAGAATATCTGATCTCAAACACTACCTTGGCACCATTTTGCAGAAGAAGTTCAGCTATTGATCTTCCTATTCCCATCGCAGCTCCGGTCACTACTGCAGTTTTACCATTGAGAGCCATTTCAGCTGTTTCACAAGAAAAGCCCCAGAGTAGATTTGCAAGGAAATGAGAAAATGTTAAGCGGAGAGAATTTATGTGTTTTTATATGTTGCTGGTCATCAGGAAGCCATACAATTTCCAGCTGGTTCGAATACAGGGAGAGGCAATCAGAGTAAGTGAGTGCACCTGTAGGAGGTGTGGCTCTGCTGACTGAAACTTGGCCCAACTCAATAAAGCATCATTTGTGTCTGACCCATACTCCGGAACAGTAGGAGGCGGTAATGCTCCTTTACGTTGGTTGCCAACCGCTGTTAAACACAAAGAAGAAGAAAACAAACAAACAAACAAACATCATTTGCCCTCATTTATTTGATTTGTTTGTTTACTGAAGTGGAAACAGTCTAACTTAGTACGATGTCTTTGATACAGGCAACACAAATAAGTTAAATATTTTGGGCTAAATCCGTCACGATAAGTCACTCTTCAGTTTGACCAATGAAATACTTTGGAAATGTTTGAAATCTATTTTGACCTGACGGTCATAAATCTCTTAATCCCCACAGCCATTAGTGGAGCTGCATGTGGCCAGCAGATGGAGGTATTGAGCTGTGCAACTTTGTTGCCAGTGTCTCTGATCTACTGTCAGAAAAGTGAAAGAGAATGTCAAAAACACCTGATTTTCAGCTTTTTTCTGCTTTTACCTAATGGTTTGTTTGTTTGTTTGTTTGTTTGTTTGTTTGTTTGTTTGTTTGTTTGTTTTTAAATTCAAGGAGAGTAGCCCAATGTAAAGTTGTTGTTGTTTTAAATCACCTTGTAAGTGTTTTTTTCTGAGGCCTTCAAGTGGCAAATCCAATTAGCCACATGCATTTATGAGGATTGCATTCAAATAAACAGCCTAAAGTTTCTTTTAGGAAGGAGTTTGAGCAGCAGTGCTATCAGCTGGTCCAGATAGCTGAGCCCACTCGACCGATATGACACTCCACTGACTGGCTCAAATACTCCATATGCTGACTTTAATATTTAAGCATTAATGAAGCATTTAATAAAAGAAATGCTGATGAGTCAAACAGATCCATTAACAGAGGTTCCAGCACAACTAAAGCCCGGTTATCCCAAAGTTAGCTTCTAGCAGGTCATAGGCTGAAAGCCTGAGACTCTTTGTGGGGCCTGAGAAAGCATGAAGTTAAATTCAATCCCAAATCTGATACTAAGTCAGTGCAGTGAAGCAAGAGCAGCACCACTCTGAGCTAACACTGATGTTAAAGCTCCTTAATATGAACAAGTGTGGAACAAACTGCACGGGAAAGCATCTGGCATGCAGTCTGTAGGGGTCTGGAAAAACATTCCACTACAAACAGAACTTATTATGAGGAGTCACAATGAGTCACTGATTAGATTTTTAGGCGTAATGGTCAATGAAGCAGGATGCTTTCTTGCTAATTTAGCTGCTTTTTATTGCATTTACTGCTGCTCTGCTGCTCTGCAGGAGACACAGGAGTGGTTATTGTCATCAAAGGTCAAGAAGCTGTCTGATTAGTTTTATTCAGTGCCAGGCAGAGAAAGCAGGTTTAAGCACGCATGATAGTATGCATATACAGTGTATTAGTCATACTTATAAATACTGAGCCAGATACTGAGCTGTGTGCGTGTGTGTGTGTGCGCGCACGTGCTCAGGACACATATTGCTTAAAGGGTTTTGAGCATAAACGTACACGGCAAGACTGTGCAAGTTGATTATAACTGTAGAACTCATTGTGTGGGCTTCTGGCAAAATATTTCTGTCACAACCGCTGCAAATGTACAGAAAGTATTGCAACAGAAGCGGCGCATTGCTCATACTTGATGCAGATAACGATGATGATGCTTAGCGCTTGAAATATTTTCTCTTTTTCGTTCAGTCCATTAAGCAGGAAGGTCAGTAGCCGATACAGTTTTATGAACTGCATCACTTTTGTTTTTGCAGCTCCAGCAACACACATAATTGCTGTTAGGGCAGGGTGGGAACCTCAAGTATTAATGCGATGTGACTCAACAGCCGTCCTGAACTGAACAGCAGCTCAAAGAAAGCAGTTTTTACAGCGCGGATACTCTGCATCCTTGTGTCAGTGAGGTATGTGCTTTTTTAGGAATTTAATTGAACTAGTGATGTCATTAATGACCCCATTATATAAGAATACTTTTGTCACGGCTCTGTTTCATATATCTATGATAGATATTCTAAAATGTTCTAATGAAATGCTTCTGGTTTTCAATCATTTTATGCAAAAAGGAGTTTTTAAAAGAAACCATGTAGAAAGATCAAGCCTGGAATTGGAAACAGCTGGAATACCAGCATCACTCTCCACACTGAAGTAGATCTCACATCACTGATGAAGAAGTCCCTGCTCAACTGGCACCATCAAGCTCGACTGGAATTTGCAGCTGCCCACGTAGACGAGCCAAATGTGGAGTAAAGGTGAGGCTTTCAAAACTTGTAAAACTATGCCAACTGTCAAGGGTCATGCTGGTAGCTGAGGCACTCTGTTAAAGGTAAAGCAATTAAAATAATTTCTCTTTTTTTATTGAATTTCTTCGCCCTACTGAGGCGCATCTGTTGATATGCATCAGAGCCAGCACCTCATTTTTTGTCTTTTTATTAATGGTGGTGGCAGCGTCATGCTCTGGGTCTATTTTGCTGCCAGTTGTTCTGGTACACTATACAAAGTGGGTGGTATTGTGACGAAGGAGAACTACCTCCAAATTCTTCAACGTCACCTCAGATGAACAGCTAGATGGTTGAAGCTTGAACACATCTGGGTGCTCCAACAGGACGATGGTCCCAAACGCACATCAAAACTGGATTTGAACAGATAAAGAAGGCTAACATCAAGATTCTGGAATGAAAATTCTTTAATATACTTAAAAGTCGAATCTGTGCCAGGAAGCCAAGACTTTTTAAATTAACTCTGATAATCTACCAATAAAAGTGGTCAAATATCCAGCCAGAATTATGCCAGCAGCGTGTTGATGGCCACTAAAAGCATCTGGTCAAGAAGCTATTCAGCCAAGGAACATTGGTGGTATTTATCCTCTAGGGGACATTTAACAATATATTAGTGGGAGTGTATGTACAGATTTCTGTATATATACTTTTTAACCTGTGTGGATGAGGAAAACACACAAAATAAATTCAAACTTGTGCACCCAGTTCTTGTTTTTTAAAGTAATTAAAACTGTAAACTAATTCCACGCTGGAAATCATTAAAAGATCAAAATTACCATGACATTCATGCCCATGATAAATATATAAATTTATGACACAGCTGTACATCATAATGCAGCATGTCTCATTCTGGTGTGGAGAGGTTTGCAGAGCTCTGGTCCTGACCTGCCACTAGGTGGAGCAGAGAGTTGATAGCAGCGGTGGCCTCATGGTGATTGATTGCCTGTTTCAGTGAAGTCATTTCGTCAGTTTTTTGTAACCATAAACACATGGAAGATATCAGTTGCTTCGACATTCAGACTCCTAACTTCACAGAAATTATAAAACATGAGTTTTATACTTATCCAGTGCTTTAAAGATTACTTTTTCTCCTTCTATTTCTTTTTTTGATAGGGTCTGCTTTATTGGCTGAACTGTAAGAAACAACAATCATGAGACCAGCACCTGACGTAAACATCAAACTTTAAGACTGACGGGGCATATTTTGCTAAAATTGCTCCACTTTTGTATTTTCAATATTACATTCCTGCCTTTCGTCAGACCCCAGACACACACATTGTTTGTGATATTCATTCTTGTAGCAGGAATCATTATGTTTTGGGGGTTGTCTATAGATCTGTCCCATTCATAAACGTCATTGGACTGAATTTAGCACAGATGTTCACTAAGACTGAAAGGAGATCTAACTCAACTTTACAGGTAAACATGAAATAGCATGAAATTAAGTGATGACATTAAATATATCTAAGAGGGTTAAAGTTCATCACCACTGTAGATTCATGATGTTTGAAAAAAAAACTGCAATAATTCTGCTTATTATTTAGCACCATACTTAGAGTTTGCGATCATACTTTGGTGGGATGCTGAAATAGTGACACTAATCTTTAATGCCCGCGTATTAAATTCCTCCTAAGCCTCCACCATATTATGAGTCAGGACAGTAATGGATGTAAACTGCAACTTCACTGCTGGAGGCATGCAACCTCAAGACGATAATTACAGTTTTGTCTCTCTGCTGCAGGGAGCCTTGGCGAGAGGTGTAAGTGTCATATCCTTTATTGCCTGAATCTTTTTTATTTTGTTTTTTAAACTAAATAAATTGAATAATTAAATTAAAAAAAAATTTAAAATTGATTTGACAGTGAAAGTGTTTCTCTTCAGCATCTTCCAATCACTGTCAGCGTAAAGTTAGCAAATCTGGGCTGTGAGTCATATATGGAAATTGTGCTTTATCAGAAGGTGCTCGGCTTGTGTCAAGTTTTAATTAAAATAAATACACTCGACTCTGATAAGAATTCTGCTTGTCTGAACACCTTAATCAAACTTTTCAGTACCCTGCTAGCCCTGACATGAAGTCTGCTTAGACAGTCTCAAAACTATTTTCATCAGCTTGATGTGTCAGACGTGTGAAAGGCCGGGTTATAAAATGCCCGTTAACTGTTACGAAAAATATCCTTTCAGCTCTGCGCATTCATAAACTGGGTCCACAAAGGGCCCCCGAGCTCGTCTTGCTTACAGGGCAAATCCACCATTTAACGGCTTTCAGCTGTGATTTGCTGACCAGCTGCTGACTTGTGTTTTCATCCCAGTGGCCCATTGCCATTTCACTGGTGATTACACTGCTAAAGAGCTCCACCGAGCTGGACAATGCCAGAGAGCTTTACATGTCACCAGTGTCATCGGCCGCAAAGAATAGGCAGCCGCCAATGAACAAAATTTGAGCCTGTTTACAGTGTGAGGCCGTGATGGGGGAGGAGCAGGGCTGCCGGTGTGTGTCTGTGTCTGTATGTCGGTGTCTACAGGAGACTGAGTGCAAATGCGCAGAGATTATGTGGTATGAAGGTGTGTGGTGGTTGCTGGAACTTAATAGAGCGGGGTTTTGTTGGTT